TCTGGGTCTCTGTCCCCCTCTCTCTCTGGGTCTCTGGTCCCTCTCTCTCTGGGTCTCTGTCCCCCTCTCTTTCTGGGTCTCTGTCCCCCTCCCTCTCTGGGTCTCTGTCCCCCTCTCTCTGGGTCTCTGTCCCCTTCTGTCTCTGGGTCTCTGTCCCTCTCTCTCTGGGTCTCAATCCTCCTGACAAGTCTCTGTCCCCCTCTCAGGATGTCTCCGTTGGTCCCTACCTTCAACTTGGACTGTATTTCCCTCGATTTCCTTCGGGCCAAAACCTGGATGTGACTAGAAACCTGGAAGGATCAACACAGAAGCAGATTCAGGCCACGGGCTCCTGCCCTGTGCTCACTGCCCCTTCTCTCCCCGCAGGTGCCTCACGGAGCTGCTGCAACACGAAAGGTGACAAACACATTGAAGACAAGGCCAGATGCGGTGGCCTGTAACCCAGCATTTTGGGAAGCTGAGGCGGGTGGATCACAAGGTCAGGAGTTCAAAACCAGCCTGGCCAACATGGTGAAACCCCATCTCTACTAAAAATACAAAAATTAGCCAGACGTGCTGGTGGCACATGCCTGTGATCCCAGCTACTGGGGAGGCTGAGGCAGGAGAATTGCTTGAACCCAGGGGCAGAGGTTGCAGTGAGTCGAGATCCCACCATTACACTCTAGCCTAGGCGACAAGAGCGAGATTTTGTCTCAAAAAAAAAAAAAAAAAAAAACCACACTGAAGATGAGGACCAACTCGGGATCGTGCGAACACAGATGTCCATAAAGGAGCTGACGAACACTACAGATCCTCCCCGGGCCCATCCCACCCAGGCTTCCTTCCCCTCCACCATGCTCTCCGTGGCTCCTCTGGCTCTAAAACAACTGCTAGAAAAACGATCGATCCCCAAATAGGCACAGTGAAAGCATGCTAACAGACGTGCTGTTACAGTTCAGATGTTTGTCCCCTCCAAATCTCATGCTGAAATGCGATCTCCAATGCTGGAGGTGAGGCCTGGTGGGATCGGATCATGGAGGCAAACCCCTCATGAATGGCTTAGCACCATCTCCTTGATGATGAGTGACTTCTCTCTCAGTTCACTCAATATCTGGTTGTTTAGGCCAGGCGCAGTGGCTCATGCCTGTAATCCCAGCACTTTGGGAGGCCAAGGCAGGTGGATCACCTGAGGTTGGGAGTTTACCAGCCTGAGACAAACATAGAGAAAGCCCGTCTCTATTAAAAATACAAAATTGGCCGGGCGCGGTGGCTCAAGCCTGTAATCCCAGCACTTTGGGAGGCCGAGGCGGGTGGATCACGGGGTCAAGAGATCGAGACCATCCTGGTCAACATGGTGAAACCCCGTCTCTACTAAAAATAAAAAAATTAGCCAGGCGTGGTGGTACATGCCTATAATCCCTGCTACTCAGGAAGCTGAGACAGAATTGTTTGAACCCGGGAGGTAGAGGTTGCAGTGAGCCAAGATCGCTCCACTGCACTCCAGCCTGGGTGACAGAGCTAGACTCCATTTCAAAAAATAAATAAACAAATATATAAATAACCCAGCCTAGGGTAATTCTTCATAGCAACACCAATCGATTAATGCACACACCGAGAAGACAGATGAAAGCACAGGAACTAGCTTCTTTTCTTTTCTTTTTTTTTTTTGACAAGAGTTTTCGCTCCTGTCGCCCAGGCTGGAGTGCAGTGGCGCTATGTGGCTCACGGCAACCTCCGCCTCCCGTTCAAGCAATTCTCCTGCCTCAGCCTCCAGAGTAGCTGGGATTACAGGCATGTGCCACCCCGGCTAATTTTGTATTTTTAGTAGAGACGGGGTTTCTCCACGTCGGTCAGGCTGTTCTCAAACTCCCCACCTCAGGCGATCTGCCCACCTCGGCCTCCCAAAGTGCTGGGATTACAGGTGTGAGAAACTGCGCCCAGCCCCTTTTTTTTTTTTTTTAAAGACTCAGTCTCGCTTTTGTCCGTCACGCTGCAGTGCAACGACATTATCTCGGCTCACTGCAACCTCTGCCTCCCAGGTTCAAGCGATTCTCCTGCCTCAGCCTCCTGAGTAGCTGGGATTACAGGCACCTGCCACTACACCTGGCTAACTTTTGTATTTTCAGTAGAGACGGGGTTTCACTATGTTGGCCAGGCTGGTCTTGAACTCCTGACCTTGGGTGATCTGCCCACCTCAGCCTCGCAAAGTTTACAGGCGTGAGCCACCGTGCCGGGCCAGGAACCAGTTTCTTCCTTGAACCTGAACCTGCCCATAGGAGGATGACCCTAAGACCGGCCCATCCCAGACAGGAGCCCACAAGTCAGTTCTGAGACCTGTTTTCGAGTTCGGGTCTTCCCCGTTCTCAGCTTGATGTAGCGGGCGATCAGTTCATTTCGACCTGAGGATTCAAAGAAGTCACAGAGTTAGACCTTCAGCAGAACTTCCCCACAGCAAGGACACCAGAGAAGAGAGCAGCAAGGGTCCCCAAAGGTCTGCAGTAACTGGCTGTGGGTCCCCTCCGCTACATGGAAGCCGTACTGCTTGGGTTCAAATCCCAGCTCCATCACGCACTAGCTCTGTGTGACCATAAGCAAATCACTTAACCTATCTGCGCCTCAGTTTCCTCATCTGTGCAACGGTGATGCTAGCTCCTACTTCAGAGTCATTGTGAGGCTGTAATAAATGTTCCCATGAGCAGCTGTTAGAGCTCCATAAGCACTGTTTACTGTCATTATTCATGGGGGGTGGGGGCAGGGCAAAAGACAGGAGCAGACTCACCATACATCTTGCCTTCATCGGACAAAATAATTTTCCGGCGGCCGCAGGGTGGGTAGATGGCCAGGGCCTCCTGGAAGCTCTGCTCAATGTCTGGACTCCACACCCCCTCTGCATCCGGGCCCCCATCACCCCCGGCCCCCTCACTGCCGCCGGTACCCTCCTCACTGCCTTCCTCACTGCCTGTCCAGCCGCTGCCATCATCCAGGGGGGCCCCAGCCCGGGGTTCCCCCATCTGGGCCTGGAGAACACAGAACTCAGCAAGCTTCCCCCGAATCCCACCCTCCAGGGACTTGAAGCTGAGAGGGCTGGGCCTCTGGACCGCTGGGTCTCCAGGAGGAGGGAGCTGGGGGCCTGGACTCTTGGGTCTGAGGGAGGAGGAGCTGGGGGGTACTCCTGGGTCTGAGGGAGGAGGGGCTGGGGGCCTGGACTCCTGAGTCTGAGGGAGGAGAAGGAGCTGGATTTCTAGGAAAGCCGAGAATGGATGTGTTCTCTGAGTTTGCAGAGGAACTTGAATTGTGATGAAGTCAACCACATTGATTACACTAGAGTGATTACCCCAGAGGAATGCCAAGGGCCATGAGGGCTAAAGGTTAGGGTATGAATTATGGGTTTAAAAAAGACAGGAGGCAAGAGCTAGTGGCAGGGAAGGAGGGTGTGGTGAAACTTTCCCCGTCCCACCCCCAGAACAGGTGTGAGGATGTGAGCAGCAGCTGCAAGAAGAGGGGCCAAGTAAGGTTGAGAGGAGGCCTAGAGAGAGAGGGGGACAGACCCAGAGAGAGAGGGGGACAGAGACCCAGAGAGAGGGGACAGAGACCCAGAGAGAGGGGGCTAGAGACCCAGAGAGAGAGGGAGACAGACCCAGAGAGACAGAGGGACAGAGACCCAGAGAGAGAGGGGGACAGAGACCCAGAGAGGAGATGGTGGGGTGGGGGAGGAAGTGGGGGACAGAGACCCAGAGAGAGAAAGAGAAAGAGATCCAGAGAGAGGGCAACAAGAGACCCAGATAGAGAGACGGAGACCTAGAGAGGGCAGGGACAGAGACTCAGGGCAGCAGCTGAGGCCGAGACCAGGAGAGACCCACAGAACCACAGGCTGAGGGACAGGGGCGCCCTGCCATCAGGAGAGCCAGAACAAAGGGCCCAGGCGTCCCCTCCCCCAGCTTCCCACAACCCCCATCAGGGGAGGTGCCGGCCGGCCAGGGCGACACCCCTCCGGCCCCGAGCCCCGCCCCTCTCCTCCCCTCCCCCGTGCACCGTGGGCTCAGATCCAACTCAAGTTCCCAGCGACTTTCCGGAGGCCGGGAACAGGGAAAACTTTTTCCAATACAGTCAGATCCCGCCTCCCCGGAGGCTCCATGTCCTCCACAGCTTTCCCAGGACCCCAGAGTCCAGGCCCCCATTCCCCTCCTCTCGCGGACCCTAGCAGACAAAGACCCCAGGCCAAGCCCACTGACGCTGCGGCGTTCAGGACCCCCGTAGGCCAAAATCCCAGCCCAGCCCTCCCCCATGTGGCCAGACAAAGGGACGGTGGAGCCGGGTAAGAAAGGTCCCCCTAATTTCCCGCCCCAGACCCTAAACCTCCAAAGAGGCAAGACTTAAGAACCAGAAAGCCCCGTCACCTCCCCTCGGCCACCCCAGGGGCCCTCCCTTCTTCGTAAGAAGGACCAGATGCCCCCAAGATTACACACTGGGTCCTTCTCACTCCAAAGTGACACCGCGCAGACACTTGCACGCCCCACACCCCGCCAGCGCCCTCGGCCCGCACCCGCTCCTATGCGCACGCCCAAACTCAGACCCAGCCGCAGGCACCCTAACTCCGACCAGAGTTCCCAATCCTCCCTAAGGCTGGGTCTGGGGCGCAAACTCGGGGCCCCGGGCAAAAAGAGGGCGGCAAGCCGTTCAGAGAGGGTCCCGCAAACGCACGGCTCACCTCCTAACCAGCCACTCCCCACCCCAACTCACACACCCCAAAGCAGGATACCCGACTCCCGCCGGCGCCTTCCTACCTCCCGGCCAGGGGCTGGGGAGCCGCGGGCGGGCGGGGCGCTGCGAGGGAGAAAGTTGCCGGGAGCTTTGTTTGGGAAAAGTGGGAGGGACCGGAGGGGGGGCGGGCCCGGGCGGCAGACAGCGGGAAGGGGTATCCGACGGTGACAGTTTGGGGGAGGATTTTTGCTTCGGGAGAAATAAGTCTATCTCGGGGCTGGTAGATTTGGATGCTTGGGAAAGGAGCGAGGTTGGGGCTTCGGACTCCAGGTGGGAGGGAAGAGGTTGATGGGAGCCAGGAACCCCTGGTCTGAGGGAGGAGAGGCTAGGGGCTGGGACTCCTGGGTCTGGGGGAGTATGGGGCTGGAGATACGGACTCCTGAGTCTGAGAAGGGACGGGGCTGGGGTTTCTGGAATCCCGGCTACCCTCTAGTGTTTGTGTATTGGGGAGTGTGGAAGTGATACGAGTATAATGAATCTTTACTGTTCAGCCCTGCTTTTTTTTTTTTTTTTTTACTTAAATGTGTGATTGTCGTTTTTTTTTGGTTATAATAGTGAAGTTTTTGTTTTGTTTTGTTTTTGTTTTTGTTTTTGAGGATTGGGGTCTCGGAATGGGTTTCCTATGACAACACGGTGTAATCTCAACACAGTTAAGAGTCGTGGGCAAGATCACCGGGAGTTTATTGGAGGCCCACGTAGGTGCAGATTCCTCATCCACAAGCGTTAGTGGACTAGAGGTGGCTGGCGGGTGTCCCAGGACCGGCAAGAGAGCCCTGGCGCCTTGAGGAAAGACGGCTTAGGGCCCGGTTCCTTATGGGTGAAGGGCTGTGTGTTCAAAATTACGGGACTAGAGGGCGCTAGGGTCCGGACCTGGGGTCCTCAGGGAAAAGGGAACTCGGATTCCGGTTTCCCTGGAAGATGAAATGGACGACTGGATTTAGGGTTTCCGGAGAGAACGGGACGTTTTAGTGGAACCGGAGAGGGAAAACCAGAAGGGATACGGAGAAAAAGCTCCCGAGACAGATACAAAATTAGAGTGAGAACTAAAAGGGCTGCTCGTCAGAGCATATAGAGCCTTAAAAAATAAATAAATAAATATAAATAAATAAATAATAGGGCTTCTCGGATTCCGGCGTCTCCAGCAGGAGGAACCTAGGACTGGAACTCCGGGTGCCAAGGGCAAGATCTGGAGAGCAAGGGCGTGGCCCACGTGCAGGGGCGTGGCGTTAAGCCAAGGGGCGTGGCCACCTGCGATTGGGCGGAACTCCGAAAAGAGGGCCGCAATCAGAAAACGCAGACAGGACTGGGCCCCCAGGGCTCCGGTCAACCGACAGGGGCGTGGTCTGATTGTGTGGGCGTGGCCAGCCACTGAACTCGCCGCTCTGGCTTAAGAGGTGTGGTGAACGAAGAATGGGGGGTGGCTCTGTCACCAAGGGCGAGGTCATGAAGAATTGGCTGAGGCTCCAGGGTGAGACCAGCAAGTTTGAGGCGTGGTCAAACAATAGGGGCGTGGCTAGCGCTCGTAGAGAGCAACCAACGCTCGAGACCAGACCTGGGCTCGAGACCAGAACTGTTTGGCTTTAACAGTCCGTGGGCGGCCGGAGTTCGGGAGTCCAGTGAACGGGCTGTGGTCTAGCATAAAGGCGGAACCCAGAAGAAGGGGCGGGGCGTGGTAGAAGGTGAGGATTGCGATCTGGTCGTGAATGTGGGCAAAAGTGAGGAAACAGACCATTGGATCTGCCCGGGTGCTGTAGCTCACGCCTGTAATCCCAGCACTCTGGGAGGCCCAGGTGGGCAGATCGCCTAAGATCAGGAGTTCGAGACCAGCCTAGGCAATGTGTCGAAACCCTGTCTTTACAAAAAATACGAAAATTAGCCGGGCATGGTGGTGCAAGCCTGTGGTCCCAGCTACTTCGGGGGGCTGAGGTGGGAGAATCACCTGAGACTGGGGAGGTCGAGGCTGCACTGAGCTGTGATTGTGCCACTGTACTCCAGCCTGGGCGACAGTCTGGATCTCAAAAAATAATAATAATAAAAAAAGAACCCAGAAGAACCGGACCTGGGAGAAGAGGGGGCCTGGCAGGGTGGAGGGTGTGGGAGTAGAAGAAAGGAGCAGTGGGGGAAATAAGTGCAGTGTGGGAGTTGCCTGGACTGGGAAGGCAGCTTGGGCAAGGAGCTGGAGAGGGGCGTCTTGGGTGGGGCCATGGTCACTGTGGGGGTGGTGGGAACCGTGAGGAGGTGGGGCTCTGACCTGGACCCTTGCCACAGCCTCCCCGCCTCCCCCGGCAATGCGGTACCCACTGGTCCTGCTGCTGCTCCTCTCTGCCCTGGTGACCCCCTCCACTGCAGCACCTATCCACGATGCTGATGCCCAAGAGAGCTCCTTTGGTCTTACAGGCCTCCAAAGCCTGCTCCAAGGCTTTAGCCGACTTTTCCTGAAAGTAAGCAATGGCGGGGGTGTGGGGGGGGAGGATTATTAAGAAGAGGTTCAAGCACACAGACTGGGAGATGGTTCAGGGGGACAGACAGGACAAGAGTCAATGAGACAGAGAGACAGGGCAACAGGAAGACCAAGGGATAGCAAGAGGGAAGGGGCCGAGTACGGTGGCAAATTTCTGTAATCCCAGCACTTTGGGAGGCCAAGGCAGGAGGATCACTTGAGCCCAGTAGTTGGAGACCAGCCTGGGCAACATAGTGAGACCCTCACCTGTACAAAAAGAAATTTTTAATGCCAAGCATGGTGGTATAGTTGTAGTCCTAACTACTAGGGAGGTTGAGGCAGGAGGCTCTCATGAGCCCAGGATTNAAAAAAAAAAAAAAAAAATTAGTCACACATAGTAGCATGTTCCTGTAACCCCAGCTACTTGGGAGGCTGAGGTGGAAGGGTCCTTTGAGCCCAGGAGGTCTTGACTGCAGTGAGCCATGATCAGGCCACTGCACTCCAGCCTGGGTGACAGACCAAGAAGACCCTGTCCCTAAATAAATAAATATATACATGCATAAATAAGAGAGGAAAGGTAACAGGCAAGGAGAGAGGGAGATGGGAAAGAGACAAGAGACTGGGGAATGGCCAGGCACGGTGGCTCACTCCTGTAATCCCAGCACTTTGGGAGGCTGAGGTGGGCAGATCATAAGGTCAGGAGTTCAAGACCAGCCTGGCCAACATGATAAAAACCCCATCTCTAAAAAAAATAAGAATTAAAAAAATTAGCTGGGTGCAGTGGTGTGCACCTGAAATCCCAGCTACTTGGGAGGCAGAGGCAGGAGAATCACTTGAACCCGGGAAGCACAGGTTGCAGTAAGCCAAGATCATACCACTGCACTCCAGCCTGGGCAACAGAGTAAGACTTTGTCTCAAAAAAAATAAAAGAGACTAGGGAAAGAGATAGGAGGAGAGGGGGTTGGGGACAGAAGAGGGGCAGGGATAGTAAGGCAAAGAGACTGAGAATAGAGACAGAATAGATGGGGGATGGAGGCCAGAGGTTAGGCCCTAAGTGTTGGAATGCAGAAAGTAAAAGGGATGGGAGGGACAAGGGGCAAGGCCTCGGGGACATCCTAGAAGGGGCTGTACTGGGGAGATGTGAGGTCCAGCAGCTCACCAGTCCCTCCTCTGGCCACAGGATGACCTGCTTCGGGGCATGGACAGCTTCTTCTCTGCCCCCATGGACTTCTGGGCCCTCCCTAGAAACTACCACCAAGAGGAGAACAAGGAGCACCAGCTGGGAAACAACACCATCTCCAGCCACCTCCAGATAGACAAGGTGCCTGTGCAGGGAAGCCCTTCCTGGAGTTCCCTTGGGATCCTTCCATCCCTCCATCCCTTGTGCTGCAGTATCAGTTGGGAGGGAAGAAGGCCAGAGGAGGAAAGCAGGTTTGCTCTCACTCTCTCATCTGGTCCTCACAGGTGACAGACAACAAGACAGGAGAGGTGCTGATCTCTGAGAAGGTGGTGGCATCCATCCAGCCAGCAGAGGGGAACTTCAAGGGTGACTGGAAGGTTAGGACATGCCCCACCCTCAGAGTATCCAGGCCTCAACATTTTCTTTTTTTCTTTTCTTTTTTAAAGCAGAGTCTCGGCCAGGAGTGGTAGCTCACACCTGTAATCCCAGCACTTTTGGAGGCTGAGGTGGGGGTGGGTGGATCATGAGGTCAGGAGTTCGAGACCAGCCTGCCCAGCATGGTGAAACCCTGTTTCTACTAAAAATACAAAACAATTGGCTGCGCGTGGCGGCGAGCACCTGTAGTTCCAGCTACTCGGGAGGCTGAGGCAGGAAAATTGCTTGAACGCAGGAGGTGGTTGCGGTGAACCAAGATCGCCCTACTGCACTCTAGCCTTGGGGACAGAGTGAGACTCCGTCTCCAAAAAATATATATCAAAAAGTAGTCAGGTGTGGTGGCACGTGCCATGGTTCCAGCTACTCAGAAGGCTGAGGTGGGAGGATTGCTTCAGCCAAGGAGGTTGAGGCTACAGTGGGCCCAGATCATGCCACTGCACTCTAGCCTGGGCAATAGAGAGAGATACTCTGTCTCAAAAAAAATTTCAAACTTACAGAAAATGTGTTTTGTTTTTGTTTTTGTTTTGAGGATATACCAAGTAAAAAATGTTTTTTATTTATTTTTTTTTTTTGGAGCCTCACTCTGTTGCCCAGGCTGGAGTGTAGTGGCACCATCTTTGCTCACCGCAATCTCCACCTTCCAGGTTCAAGCGATTCTCCTGCCTCAGCCTCCCCAGTAGCTGGGACTACAAGCGCCTACCACTATGCCCGGCTAATTTTTGTATTTTTAGTAGAAACCAGGTTTCACCATATTGACCAGGATGGTCTCGATCTCCTGACCTTGTGATCCACCTGCCTCAGCCTCCCAAAGTGCTGGGATTACAGGCAAGAAAAGTTTTTTTTTAATAATACAATAAATATACCTATAGTCTCTTTTCCATAAACCAAAATTTCTCGAGGTTGGCGTAATTGGCACGTGGGGCTGAAGAATCTGTTGTGGAGCTGCCCTGTGCACTGTAGGATATTTGGTAACATCCCTGGGCTTTACCCATGAGAGGGAAGTAGGCTCCTGCCAGGCGCAGTGGCTCACGCCTATAATCCTAGCACTTTGGGAGGCTGAAGCGGGTGGATCACGAGGTCAGGGGTTTGAGACCAGCCTGGCCAACATAGTGAAACCGGCCTCTGCCTCCAAATAGCTGGGATTACAGGCACACACCACCAAACCCAACTAATTTTTGTATTTTTAGTAGAGTCAGGGTTTCACCATGTTGGCCTGGCTGGTCTCGAACTCCTGACCTCAAATGATCCACCTCCTCAGCCTCCCAAAGTGCTGGGATGACAGGCATGAGCCACCCGTGCCTGGCCTATCAAGCTGTTAGTACAGTATTACTTCACTAGGGCTGCCATAACAAAGTACCACAAAGCCGGGCGCAGTGGCTCACACCTGTAATCCTAGCAATTTGGGAGGCCAAGGTGGGTGGATTACCTGAGGTCAGGAGTTCAAGACCAGCCTGGCCAACATGGTGAAA